ACCCCTCCTCTTCCTTCTCCTTTCCTTCCTTTTCTCCAGAACATTAAAGGGTGGACTAATCCCTCTTCTGGGTTTCCCAGCAGCTTGGTTTCTACCCATCAACTCCTCACTCTCAACATCCCTCGCCCAATCTGTTGTAACAGGTTGTAACACACAGATTCTAATTCCTACAGTATCCATATTAGAGTAGTGTCTGGTCCTACGGTGTTCCATGAAGGTTGGATTCACCCAGGCACTGTAATGTTTCTGTTGCTATGCCAACTCCATTGGTGTCCGAGGAGCTTGTTGGCAACCATCCCTGCCCTCTTTTTTTCCCTCAAAGGTTTATTACTCTGCAGAAAACTTTTCTCTGTAGCCGAGGAACAGCTTTTCCACTTGTATTCTGTGCTTATTTAACCTTTGATTATTCAAGCACTTGTGGTTGCTTTGGTTCACATGTACAAAGTTCTATGTGGTCTCAGCTGGGAGGTGTTTATACAAACTTCAAACATTTGTTTTGAACATTTCAGAGCCAACTCCACCAGTGGCAGTTTTAAAAAGTACAAAAAGGATAATTTATGTAACGTTCAGTTTTTTACGTTACAAGATTAATGCTCAAATTCAACTATTGAAGCCTGAATTTAACATTTGTGAGCAGAGAACTTGATAAAAACATCCATTAGACCTGGTGACAATACCTAGCTGTGTGGATGTTTTGGGGTTTCTTCATGCTGCAGGAATAATGTCAATATAAGGCACTGATACTGGGGTAGACATGCTGTATCAATGGACCTATTTCATTCAGAGCATGTAAAACAAACAACAAATGTATACATTTTAGACCTGTTATTTTTATTTCCTTCCCAGATCTTTGGTCTAGTGTTTGTTTTTCAATTGCAGTTTTAAAAAACAAAGAAAGAGTGACTTAGTGAAAAGTAATTTTTACCCAAGAACAGGACACTTTGAAACATTTCTTGGGTTTTGGGACATGTAAGGATGTTGTTGATGATGACAACATTGAGAGTGCTCCTGAAGTCTCAATGAAAAAAGGTGTGAGTTTTTTGGGCATGGAGAGATTCTGTCTTGTTTGAAATTCCTGACCGTATGCATCACTCCTATCCGCCCCTCGAGGAAACTGCGCCTTCCTCTACACGTCTAGGAAAGAGCTGCTTTGCCAAAGGTTGGATTTTATATAAGCCACCATGACTTACACAGAACCAGCTCATCATTTCTGTCTGAAGTCTGGCCTGTGACAGTGACTAAACCCAGAGCAGGATGAAGAGCAATGAGGCTACATGTGTCCTACACTGTCGAGGATGGAGATGATAATGTTCATTTAAACATTTAGATGTGTCTACATACACATTTAGACATATAGTGCATAATGACAGGAGTTTACTGAGAAATAATAAATTAAAAAGATAAATTGCAGTAACAACACTGAATTGAATAAACAAAGGAAAGTGAGAATAACATTAAGTTAATTTTAAAAAAAAACAATTTCAAAAATAATCTGGGTTGATGCAATGTTTCAAACATTCAGCATAAGACCAACTAAACAATTTGCTAAAGTTGAAGATGACCAAAGGATTCCTTTGTTTTTTTAGTATGGTAATTAGCTAATACTTCATAACTTCAGGTAACTTCGTGAATGACACAAAAATGTAAAATATTGTACTTTTAACCTTCGACTGACTGTTCAGGCAGTACAAGAACAAGACAAGGCTCTAAATAATTGTTTTAGAAGAAGAAGAACAAACCAGGTGAGATTTGTGGCTTCTCAACATGGAGATAAAGAACAGTCTGAGATTCTTCAGCATTATTACAATGTGCAAAAGGAACAAAGGATTGGTCTATTACAATGTGCAAAAGGAACAAAGGAGTTTAAAAAGTTTAAAAAGAGAATGATGACTCTTTAATATGGAAAAACATTGACTGTATGCCCCCACTCATTAGGCTGCAGGACCTTCGTAACTTTTGTTCTTACTATCGCTGGTTTTGTCTTACTTGTTCCTTGTGATATGATGATGAAAAATATCAAGGACAGGGGATATAAAAGATATATAGATAAACAGATATTAAGAAAGTAAGGTCAACCATCCAGGAGTAAAACAGCAGTGAGACCTGCTATGATGTATGGTTAAGAGACAGTGTCTCTGTCTCATAGATAAAAGGCTGTGTTGGAGGTGGAGGAGATTAAGATGCTGAGATTTTCACTGGGAGTGACCTGGATGGACAGGATTAGAAATGAGCAGATCAGTGGAACAGTGAAGGAGCAGAGGGTTGGAGATAAAGAGAGGTGAGGTTGTGATGGTTTGGATATGCGGACATGTGGAGAGACAATGAATATATTTGATGATATATTTGCTGTAGAAGAGGATAAAAGAGAGACACAGGAGCTACAGTAGTAGACATGGAGATAGTTGGAGTGAAAGCAGGGGATAGGAAAGATGATCTACTGTGTTGACCCCTAGACGCAGTCAAAAACCAAAGACAATATTAAAAAGGTTTTAGCATTGTTGTTTCCTGATTTGCTAAACTTCTATGTATATTTCTAAAAATACATACACAAAAAAAAAAAATCAGGAATGAAATGTTCTGACTGCAGATGTTTTGTCCAACATTATTTTTGCATGGTTGTAAAAAGCCAATGAAAGTTCTTAGCGCATCAAATTTAATATGAACAGCCGTTAATTTTTTTGATGAAACCACAGGTTAAGTGTTGGCCTTAGATTTCATCTGACCTTGTTCTCTGAATCGGAGCGTAAATCTTTGTTAAAGCAGCTAGGTCCACACCCAACATGGCTTCATAAAATACAGCTCTGTCTGATTCACTTCAGTCTAACAGTTACATAACACTGTGAGATTGGAGCCAAGACAAGGCCGACAGATACCGGACTGAAGCTTACCTGAAGGCCATGCATGTGTTATAGATGTAGAGGAGCCACAAAAGCTGATTTCATTCAATAAATGAAAGCGTTGGTAGTAAAATGTGGGGATGATGACTGCTCTACAGACAGATGACTAATCATCTAAGGCTTAAAGTTCACATTGAACAACTAATAAACTTTTCAACCTCTGAGATACTTAACTTAAACCATGTTAATTGTTAATAAATGGAAAAAGAAATGAGCAGCTAATTTCTGTTTCCTCAAATATGGCAAAATCTGATCATATTAGTTACACACTAAATTCTGAGCAGGCATGCGTGACCCCAGATAAATTCAACAACCTCTTAACCTGTGTTTTCACAACTTCCTGTTGCACTTTGATATTCACTATGTTGACATGGCAACAGTGAAGAAACACTGATTTTCACAATATTATTACAATATTACCGTCTCAGGTGGGCCTTTTAAAGGGAAATTTAGATTGTGTTTGTCTGTATAACTTTACATGAAATTGACAACTGCAAAGCCTGCATTCTAACAAAAGCCATTGTTTGTATTCTAAATCGTTTGGGGGTAAAAATAGTGGGTAACTGGGGCGGGACAAATTGGGAACTGGGAAAATATTTTTAACAGTATCAATTCTGTTAGTTAGTTAAGATATCACTGGCGTTCATTCAATATGCCATGTCAATTGATCACTTCACACTAAGACAATCGTCTTTCGATTTGTTTCACAATATTCATTTAGTCTCAGCCGGAAGATAATACAGTATATAAGCAGCAGACAGAGACCAACACCTAGTAATGAAGCCTGTTATCGACCCCGTTTCTAATTCTGGATGATCTGACTCTGTTATGAGCAGTGGAGCTCCTCAACCCAGCTTCCAGTGGACTCTAGTCAGGAGCTGCATGCTGCGATAAAACTGAGTAGGTGAGAAATGTGTGGAGTCGCCTGAATGTCAAGGGAAAGTGTGAAAATGAAACTGGGAGGTGTTCAAATTTAAAAAAAAAAAAAAGAGCATGTTGCCTCATCCACAGCTAAATTACATTAGAACTGTAAAAAAAAAAACCAACAAGAAGCGAGAGTACAGTCTGTTCACACACAGACTGCTCACTAAACTCACTGTACCATAACACAATCTTCAGTCAGTGTCACTACTGCTCCTGTCTTTAGGGAACACAATTACAAAATGAAAATTTAAAGCAACTACAGGAACTAAACTGATTATTCAATTAACAAGTGTAATATTTATTGACTAGTGAATAAAACACATTCTAAAAGTTGATGTTTGTAAAAATTTTACAGCACTGTTTGCAAAGGGGGATGCTGTTTGGGGGCCTTGGCATGGAAAAGTGTAGGAACCCCTGCAGTAGGACAGAGGTCACTTAAAGGTGAACCCCAGTCTGAAGTCTGTTGTCTGAGTGTTTCCATTTTAACAAGTGCAGCTTTTCTAGGAATTACGGTAAACAAATATGTGGTCATTTTGTTGTGAATCAGCCAATCAGATTCACTCTGTACAAGGACAGAGCAAAACTGAACTGAGCTTAACCATAGTGTCTGTAATTTATTACATGACAAAATAATTGTATAAATAGTTCTCAACAGTTCTTGTGCTGATATCACTAGATGACACAGTATATTTTTTAGAAATTAGCAGCTATGACATTGTGCAGATGCAAAGCGACAGACTCCAGTGTGTAATTAGTGGTATTTAATAAACTATTTATTATTACCATTTAATATAAGACCATTAGACTACTATTCTTTATGTTTATTTATAATAAATTCAGGCGGACAACGCCACTAAAAAAAATTTATTTGAATTTTATAAAAAGTATTTTAAAAACTTAAAGGTATGATGTGAAGAGTTTAGTTACAAATAAAACACGCTTTCAATGACATGATCAACCTGTCTAGGCATGAACTTGTCTTTCTCACACACACACACACACACACACACACACAGTGTGTGTATAAACATATCAACAGCACCTAGACAGAACAAGTACAACCAGACTCCAGAGTGAACACAGTGAGAAAACAAAAACGCACTCGGCTACAACACCTCCTGCCAAAGTTTCATCACACAGCAGAAAAGGGAAGGACATTCAAATTCACGTTATTCCTACCCTTGAGCAGCGGCAAGGGCGTGAGCTCTATGGGTTTGCCCTGAGAGCGAAACTGGGACGAACTCTGCGACCGCTTCGGCTTGACCTTCCTGACAGACTTCCGCGAAAATCCATCCACTTTGTCCACAGATGGAGATGTGGTGGCTGCCGAGGACATGGCCCTGATGAAAAGATAGAAGAGAGAGTAAATACAAACATATTTTGAATAGAGAGCACATAATTATTCGGCATCCTTAAAAACACAAGAGGAAACAGAAGACAATTAGAGGAACTGTATATCAAAGATATTAGACATTTTCTATATTATAAATGTACAGTGTTGTCAGTGGCCAGAATTCATTAATCTACTGAAACAGACAAAGAGGAAAAGAGATACTAGAATTCTAGGGATTTTTTTAGGGGAAGACTTTTTAACTATTATAGCCAAATACTTTCCACATAAACATAATTTAAAAGTTAAATGAGCCAAAAAAACAAAACCAAACTAGCTTCAAAAGTGCCTAAGAAACTGAAAAAAGGGAAGAAAAATATTTTGATATTAATTTATTGTCAAAGCCCTCCTAAAAATGAATAGAAGAATAGTAAAATACTAAATGAAATATTCAGGCATCTCTGATTGTAAGAACTTACAAGAGTTCTTAATAAATACTTTGCTTGCAGCCTTGCTTTAACACTGCTAATTAAATTGCTTTCAACTATAAATGCTATCAAAGCTAGTTTTGTATTCAGCCCCTAATGAATTGGGGCTGAATCTGGAGTACAGGAGGTCAATGACCTCACTGTCCCAGACTCATTCTTCAGATATGATTATGCACCTTGTAGTTTCGCTACAGACAGAAGAAACCAATCTAATCCAACAAAGCACAAATATTTCCAGGTTTTTATTAGTCCACATTCCTGCCGCTTGTTTTTTTTTTTTAGTTGTTTAGCTCATAGCAGCCATTACCACTGCCAATAAAGTTCCACGCACAAACAATACCACACACCAGAAACACAGGAGTCTACCCGCAACAATCGACTTGGCTCTGTCTTCCAGCTGCAGCCGTCGCAGCCACAGTGGGAGGAAGCTGAGAGGAAACGTCCGCTGCTGAGTGTTTGCTGCAGATTATGACTTTGGTGGGCATTAAAAATACACACAACAAACAAAACCTGAGTTGCAGCGTTATTTTTTACTAGTGAGCCAGCTGCTGAGAGAATGTCATCCACAAACAACCACACCCACCAGGAAACGGGTGGACAAGAGTGAAAATTTTACTGCAAAAAAAGTTAGTTACAGAGAAAACGGATTAAACCATTTTAATTAAATACCAACAACACCTGATAATTCAGCATTTCATTGGTTGAGACACATAGCCATGTTCAACTCAAGCTAACACTGATGCAGAACCGAATCTGTAGGCCCTGTGTCTATGTGTATTAAAGATCACGGAACAAGACTTCCAAAACAATAATAGTAACGATGATGAAATAGCTGATGTATGAAAGATTAATTGTTCACATTAATTATTCAATCCTGTCAACACGCCAAGCCCAGATATTACAAAAAAACATAAAAGCATGGTCACATGGATGTAAATTTAAGCCAAAGGTCCAGTGGCAAAAGGATCAAGCCTGTTATCAAGGGATTACTGGTTGACATCCCACCTTTGCTGTCTTTGTGTTGAGCAAGCACTAACTCCTTTGCATCGTTTACTCTGACGTCAATCTCTGATCACCAGGATTAGGGTAATGGGGTAAATGCAGACAACAAATTTCATTGTGTGTATGTGTGTCTATAAAGACGGTCCTTGGTTTACGACCTCCTCGGCCTACAGCATTTTGTGGTTATATAACCATCAGCCATAAATTAATTAAGAAAGTCTTGTTCCATCAATCCAACATTAAACACATTTCGCACTGTTTGTTTTGTTTGTCAGTAACATGGATGCAACACTCTAGAATCTAGTCCAACTAAATGACCCCCGCTCTCTTTTTTCTGACTCAGACTATGCGGACACTTAAGGCCTTAACTCAACTCAACTCAGTGACTGACAATTTTCAGAATGACTTCATGAATGTCTTGCCTTTAATAACATTGATCCAAATCAAATTGTTTTGTACAGATTACTAAATGAAGTCTGTAAACCACTCTGACTACTTCAGACTTCAGCACCAACATTATCCCAGGCGCAACACACACCTCTGTGTACAACAAAAACAACAAAAGTGCCAAATTGACACCTTTACATCGGTTCTGCTGCTGGGCTTACAGATAATAAACAGTCAAGTCAAGGCCTCTAACAATCACCTGCACTTGGAGATTATCACTGGTTAATGGCACAAAGCAGGACAGCTCTGATGTACACTCTCTTCATTGCCTTTGTGGCAGCCAGGTTTTATTTCTGTGAAGAGTTATATCCACTATTACAGGAAAGTAGTAGTGGTCAGAAGCAACAACTGCTGCTAAATGTCAAAATGTTTCACACACTGGCCAGTGTTTTTTCCAACAAGCATTTACAAAAAAAGGAGGTGAAATGTGGAGCTAATATCATCAATTTCAAATGTTTTAAACATATTTATGTTACTATTGTTTAAAAATCTCTGACTCTGTCTAGTGTGGAGATTGTAACTAAGTGCTTTTAAAACATTAAAATAACATTATTGAAGAAAACATTTCCCCTATTTACTGTAAACAAAGGACAAACCAAATCACTGATGTTAAAAGTGCTAAAAACATTCAGGATTAGTTTAGCATTTCATTAAAAATGTATTATTTTTTGCATTTTTTAAAAATAAATCAGCCAAGCTCTCACACTCACATTCTACCTCGGGGTAACACTTTGAGTCTGTGCCAGGAAAACTTGAGCTCCAGCAAAAAAAAAAAATCCACTTCATTGAGCCACAATCTGCTGCTTAACAAAAACCAAACTTTCAGTGAATACACTTGTGGATATTCTCAGTCATCCAGGTCATCATAACAATCTTATATTGAGATTCCAGTGAATACTGATAAACTGCCATCTTTATATAAAAAACAAACAGTCTCTGCTTACCCATGTAAAGGGACACTGGAGTCCCCCAGTACAACCATCAGGAACTCACTTTCTATTCCTCTCACGCTGACCACAACCAGACTAATGAGAACACTTGAGAAAGTGACCACAACTACATAGGAGGAGAGAGAGCCTATGGCTGATGGTCAGGTGTGTGACACCAAAGTCGTCCGACCAGACCTCTTACATAAGAGAGCAGATGACATTCACACCAGCTCAGAGAGGGTGGGATTTAAAATGAAGGAGGAAGGAGAGAGGAGGGGGCACAGGGAGAAAGAGAAGGGTGGGAAGGAAGGATGGAAGGAGTTGCTGTTTAACAGGATGTCAACAATAGTACAACGGAGTGAAAGAAGCTGAGAAGGATCACAATGTACAGATATTAACCAGAGTATAAACACAGGAAATAAAAACAGGAGATAGAGGGGATGAAAAATATAGTCTGCCTTTTTTTAAATAGAATTTCACCATTAAAAGTCAGAGCAGAATTAGGTTTCATTGATCTTGTCATGGTCACATTCAAGCACTTTTTTCCCTCACTCTGCTGCACAAAATCCAAGTTTCAATCACAAACTCAATGCTACTCCAAGCACAAACTCTGTTCCACTACATTACAGTGCAAATAGTCTGCCACTGCGCAGAGTTACTGCACAAACTACTATTTCTCCAACATTAAGGAACTAAAATTGTTACTCACAAATGGGACACAGCATGTTCTTTCAATGCACATTTTCAAAAACTGCACAAACGCCACTATAGAGCACTGCACAGGCCAGTTTGTATTACTGCATAGACTTTGCACTTTTACATAAAGTCTGCATTAACTTTCAGTGCTGGTTCTGGACATATTGGGCATCAGAGCATTAGGAGATACAATACTGCCATACATTACTGTTGGGTGGCAAGTCCTGACTAGCTTTGTTGATAATTGTTTTTTTATTGCATTGTGAAAACTAGTAGCAGAGCCCATTTAGCAATTGTAAAATGTATTGTATATAGTTTATTATATGGGGTATTAAGTAAGTAATCTTACATTAACAAAGAGCAGCAATCAAAAGAAGCTTCTCTGTGAGAATTTCTTGAGCTTTGCCAATTGCTGGAGTTAGTGATTATTAGAACAAGCTTTACAGCAGCATCATATTCAAATGACTACCAGTTCAAAGTCAACCCTGTGATGCAACCAAATATTTTTGAGCCTCAGGTCATAATCGCATAATAGCAGCCATTTAGAGCTGATAAAGACAGGGACAGTTACTACACCAGCATCACCATAAACTCAGCAGTCTTTGGTTGATCACTTATCTCAGTTTGAGCTCAAGAAGAGGACCTGACAGACAGGGTATTCAGAAAGGCCAAGGCAGGACCAGTGCGACACCAACTCCTACACAAATACCATTACCATCCAATGCACACGGCCACATCTGGTCTCTGGCATGCACCGATTCGGCTGAAGCCATTCACTCATAAGCAAAATGAAGGTTCAAAACTCATTACAATGAAACCCCACCTTTTCTCAGACTTCTAATTCATTACTTTTTCCTATGTCATCAGATCATCCACATCACTAACGATGCTCATTCAAAACAACAAATACTGAGCATTAAAACAATTTAATTAAAAACGTTTTAGTTGACTATTTAAAATCTGCTAAGACGTCCAAATCTTCCAAAGACTGGAAAGCTATCCCCAAAGACCAAAAGTTGTATATAACAGATGGACGGTGCTAGCAAACTACATAGCCTGGCCAAGACTTTGAAATAAAGCAAACGTAATCTGTTTAATATACGTTAGTTAACGTGTAAACTAGGTAACACTCATAATACCACTTACAATAATAACATAACGTAATAACACTTACACACACGTTTATGTCAATGGCAGGTATTCAAGTTCGAGTCGTACCGTACTGTCAAATATTGCAGTATTCGACGAAAGATTAATGGTACGATAAAATGTTGCACGCTACTAACAAATGATAAAGTGAAAAGGGACAGAAAAGCAAAACATACTGGTACGAAGTTTTAATATGCGTATTTGTAATGGGCCTGGCAGCAGCAACAGCACACTGTTCAAAAAGTTGACAGCGCGACAATGAGCCCACATTTACGTTAGGCCAGCTAACCGCGTTAGCTTTAAAACTGTCCGTGACAAAAAATGTATTAAATACACTAAAATACGAGCTACTAAGTAACCAAAAAAATACTATAGAACGAATAATATCGAAATAATGGTCCGGTGTTCCTAAAAGTTGTCAAATATATTGACGTAAAGCGGTGTGTTTTTTAGCATGCCACCTAGTTAGCTGGCTTCGGGATAAGCCACGCTAGCTAACTAGCTAGCAAGCGTATAAACTATACATACGTCTAAAAAATTGTTCTATTTATACAGATAAACTGTAAACCTAAAAAATTTAAACTTTGTAGTAACATTACCTGGACGGGTTCGGGCGGTCACCCATCATCCCAGAAGGAAATTAGAGGGGAGGGAGGTGGGCAGTGCTAGTGCTGCTAATCGTCAGCTATTATAGCGCTCACAGACTGGACTCAATGACAGACAGGGGGAGAGAAAAAGAGACTCCACTGGAACTGGACTTGGATATACCAGAATGATCCTGGACTTGGGCAGGAACCCAACACCACACGACTGACTCTTGAGTTCCCGAGTCCCGGGGACGCTGCAGCAGCCGCCCCGCCGTGTGTTAGCCGCTGTTAGCCCTCGGGTACTTTTCACCTGAATCCTCTGCGCTTCGCAACGAAGACGAGAGGAGTGATTTAGATATTTTTAAGAAAAAAAGGATGAAAAAAATGAATCAGCGAGGCTTGAACACATCCGGCCCCCAAAAAAAGCCAGAAAAAATATACCCCACGTTAGCCTCTGTTTTCAGCTCCGGGAATAATCCTCAAACTTCCATTAATAACAGACAAAACAGCGATGTTTTGTTGTGAAATGATTACATTTAACCTCGATACATTCCTGTACTTGCGGGCCTTTTTCCTCTATTTGCCCTCTGGATTGTGTTTTTCTCGCTTCGTTTATGATCCGCTGCTTCTTTCGCCCTATTGTCAACACTGAAGCTGCTGCTGCTGTTGCTGCTCACACCGCGGCGCACACACAAGCACACAAACCCACTACCGCTACAGCCTGGTGAAAGGCGGTGCAAAAAAGCTGATTGGGTGTCGCTGCCTTGGCCGAGCGCAGTGATTGAACAAGAAGCGCCATCAATCTCAGATGGGCTTTTCTGTGTGGATTCAGCGGGTTTGGTGGAGAAGTAGAGGGGAAAGGAGGAAAGGCAGACCAGAGGCAGAGTTTTCTGTGTTTTTTTCGCTCCACACCGAGGCAGGAATGAGGTTAAACCTGCTCCAGGCCCTGCCCCGAGCATTTGGTTCACTCTTACCCCGCGCTTTTACGAGACATTAGCCACAGTTTTATGGCGTTTTTACCGTACGAATGTGTAGATTAAACACAGGGGCGTTGTTACATAACTACACGTCCAGGGGCGTACAGAATAGGTGGGCACGGTATGTTGGTTTCACTTTGAAGCCCCGTTAAAAACAGGATCTGTTTTAAGTTATTTATTGCAAACAAAATAATGCATAAAAAAACAAAGTTTGTTTGATGACAAGAAGAAGATGCACATGATAAGTGACTTAAGCAGGGCAGAGACAACGTTATGCCAGTCCTGGTACAGATGATAACCAAATGAAAGGGTTTGGCCTTCCCCACCCAGCCCTGTAAACAACTGCAAAACATTCTTGGCTTTTGTTTCATCTACCATGCCCTACAACCCCTGTAATATCTGTGCAGCCTGCTGCACGGCTCTACCTCAGCATGAAACACACTCTGAAGGAGCGTCATAATTAAATCATCTAAATTACCTATAGCCAATTGAGTTTAATGTCATATGGCATATCATTTAACTACATTTTTAAAAAGTATAAAATCATTATTTCAGTGAACATGATTTATACACTTGAATTAATGACCGTTGACCAATTTTACTAGATAATAATAGACCAGCTCATAACAGAATGGTTTTAAAAGTAATGCATCACACACTAATATATGATAACTATATTTATTGCAATAGATGAAATGGTGGAATATGTTTCTGGACAGTCCTTTATAATAATGTGAGGTTCTCTTATTGTATCGATTAAAACAAAACATGGACTGTGATACATGCTGTACAAATATTTTTATTACAAACTTTGTATAAACTAGATATCTGAGATTTTGCAGATATTAAAGTCGTTATTTTTTGTATGCGTATTTATACACTATATACTGTTTCCAAAAAAAACAATAAACCATTTTTAATGCATTAATTAAAAAAATAAGTATTTTCAGTTGAATTCATCCCTATGAATATTTAACGAACTAAAAAATGGAAACACCACTGCAAAAACTGATTTAAAAAAAGAATGAATCTCATGAATAAATAAATTATTTAATCTAAGTCTACAGTGTCTGAAGAATGTGCCAGATTTTGTTTTTAATTTGATAAAACTGAATTCTCAAAGCCACTGTACAATGGCTGATATCCAGATTTCACACAGAGTAATCTTAAAAGAAAATATAGTGACGTACATGATTGATTTTTTGTTGTTATTTGTTGAAATGTCTTTTCTGGAGTTAACCACACCATCAAGTCTTTATGTTTTTTTTTCCTTCCCATAGCCATGCTTTTTATGAGGCCTGGATTTGCGTCTTAAGCTCGACTCGCTCTTAAAAGACTCCCTCTTGCCTCCCTCCTTGGTGAGCTCCACTCCTCCTTTCCACAGCAGCAGCTGACCATCCTCTCCACCTGTGACAAGCCCTTCTGCCACCGTGTTCCACATGAAGCAACGCACAGTCAATGTGTGGCCTCCCTCCAGGCTCCTCAGCAGTCGGAGTCCATCTCTGTCACACTCCATCAGGTGCAGATCTCCACTGTTCATCCCCCCGACCACCAGCAGCTTCTGAGTGGCTTCCAGCCATTGTCCTCCCACCAGGTAATCCACACCTCCTCTGCCAGGGAGTGGAGTCAGACTCCGAGCGTCAGAGGTGCTGTAGATGGTGAGAGGCTCCTCTGTGTTTAGCTGACCTAGATCCCACAGGTGAAGACCCTCGTCATGGCTCAGGCATAGTAGCTGGTTGTAGTCTGGTCCAGACCAGCACACAGAACCAGCCGAGGAGTCACTGTTGCAGGTGGCGAGCAGCGCCTCCTCCTCAGCTCCTCGGCTGAGGTCGAAGACATTTACCAGGCCGTCAGTGGAGCCGGAGGCTAGACGGTCTTTGTCCTGAGGATGAAAGCACACCTGTGTGATGTCATCACTGTGCGACTCCGAGTAGACCCCCAGAGGACCATCACCAGAACCAGCAGCTCCAGGTTTTCTGCTGTCCCAGAAAACAAGGAAACTGTCCTCATTGTTCATCTGCTCTGTTCCTGCACATAACAAGGTGTCGCTGCAGTTCAAGTCGAAGCTGCAGAAATGGTGAGACTCGTCGCTTTTAAACGTTTGCACTGCCTTTGACCCAGGCTGACGGACGTCCCAGCCATGCACTGTCCCGTCAGCAGAAGCAGAGTAGAGCAGGTCAGTGGATCTATGAGCAAACGTGACCCCACTGAGAGGCCCAGTGTGGCCCTGATACTGACCAATCAGACTCAGAGTGTTCTTGTTATGCAAGTGAAGCGTGAAGTTGGAGCAGGAAACTGCCAAGAGCTCAGACGAAGAGTGAGGCTGCAGGGCTATGTGTAGCAGGTAGGTGGGTTCTTCTGGACGAGAGCGACAAGCGACTGACAAAGCTTCAAGTTTCTTCTGCAAAGACTCCATGGAAGTTCAATGTGATTCGAATGAAAGCAACACTAGGAAAAATAACATTCAAAGAATTCTATTAGAATCTCTGGAAGAGAAACAGAGACCAAGAGAATGTTTTTTGATGTCTGAACTTTCTCCCAAACATTTAGAGATAAACGGCAGATTTATATTTTGATCAGAATTTTATCCAAAAAAAATGAAAAATCTAAAATACAAATTTAAGACTATTTTTTCTAGAATTCTCAGAATGACATTCTCTCACAATTGTGGCTTATCGGTTCAAAATTAGGGAAATCAAAAGAAACCAGGGTTGCATGAAAATTATTTTAAGAGTTCCACCTTAAAACTAAGAGTTCTAATCTAGATTATTTTACCACTGAAAAACAAATAAAAGTCAAGGAGTTACCAAATAAAAAGACGTCCCTGTAGCAGCAGGTATCGGTACAAAAAAGTGCTACTAAAGTAAACGTTCATTCTTTGAACTATATTTAATTGTATAAACGCTATTGTATTGTATTATATTGTTTTGTATATATAATAATATATAAAATTATATTGTATTATATTTAAATGAGAAATAATCGCAAATCTTTAGGCGAGTATTATTTAAGGGCTTTTACACGTAATATTTGGCTATTTCTTTCAACAAAACGCAAAATAAATGTGCATTTTTTTAACGTGTTAACACGGTCTTGACAAGTTTGTCAAACAACACGAAAATCCACTTGTGTCTCTTTTTTTACGTTCATGTTCACTGTGACTGCATCATTATCTGTACGTTGTTTACTTACAGTCAGTTTCCAGACTAAATAATCTTCATAAATGAGGAACAAACCTCGTAAAGATGTGGTCGTTGTCTCCGACATTCATGAACAGGCGCAGTGTTTGGGTTACGAGTATTCAAGTTATGACATTTAGTCTCATCAAATACATTAGTTCTGTTGAAAAACAATAGTTAAACAAAGCATCAAACTTGAAAACCAAACACGTTAGAGTAAACGTGGTGTGTTACAGGATGAATGTCCGGCGGGAAACTCGCCCTCAGAAAACTGTTCCTCCCACTGAATGTTCTGCTCCCTCCCCCCCCAAAGGATTTGAGAAACAAATCCTTTGTTTCTCATCACAGCGGAGATCTATAAAATATCACTTTTCACACAAAAGTTCTTAAGTGTTTTTTAAACCACAATACCTGTCGGGAAGCTCAAACCACGATTAAAGATTGGATTTCCTGGGCTTTAAATAACCTCATAAATGCTAACATTAACCTGACAAAAAAAAAACATAAACAGGAAAATAAATTGTAAATATTCAATGTAATCACTGAAATTTTGATAAAGTTTGATAAAACCACATCGATTCATTTGGCCGAGTAGTTTATCTCGGTTTGTCCAGCAGGTGTCAGGAGCACTTTAGTGTGACTGAAGCCTTTGAGCTGTTGAGTGACCCAGATCTAAGATGTGGCATTGAAAGAGAAGATGAAACAAAGAGAATGAAACTGTTTTTTCGTTCAACAGTTATTTTTGTCTTTAAAACCACAGAGAGCTTGAGCTTAGCCCTAACCCTAACTTTCAGTTTAAGTACAAGAAAGTATCTGGTCAAGCAGGTGACAATTAAAGAGTAAAAATTATAACATACAAAATATAACATATCAATACAGCAATCAGTTACCACCAGCACATAACATGTATTCATTCATATTCTAACCTTCTATTCCATTTTCATGCCACAGGAGGCTGGAGTCAATCATAGCAGCCATCAAGTGAGGCCAGAGTTACACCCTGAAAAATTCTCCAGTCCACCACATGGTCACATATAAAGGAAAACCTGGGTTAAATTCCAAGACCGTGAGAACAAGAAAACCCCATACTGAAAGACCAGCAGTTACCACTGGGCCTGAACCGATGGAGGTTTTGCTGTGGGCCCCTCACACTCCCAGGTGTCAATCAAATTAGTCAAAAAATTATTAAACGTTTTAGTAAAGAATTGACCAAAGTGAAAACATTCTCCAAATGCCTAGAGAATTTGTAAATACTGTAATTAACAGGCAGGACTGTCCACCGGGAGAATAAAAGTGAAATCCAGAAACTTTTTCATACTGGGAACATGATGAAAAAAAAATCCCAGATGTCTTTATTCTTTGGTCCAGCAGCAACAGCTGGACTTTGTCCTCTCAGGTTTGGCACAGACAAGGGAAATTGTGATCAGCCAATGACACACCACTCCACTGCATCAGTGTGTTTGTGTGTGTGACATCATCACATGGTCTAAATCAAACAGGGTCAGCCACAAAAACCCTGGATCACATATCTGACTTTTATTTGAATACAAATTACAAAGGAAACATAAAGATAACTCACTGCCTTTTTCATTTCCCACAAGTTTCTCTTGATGTTCTTCTGGTTGTTGCAGCTGCAGTTTGGTCATAGCTGGTTAAAGGTCAGAGGTTGCACCGCACTGGAAACAAAACCCGCTTAAAGGAACAGTGAACCAATTCTGAAGTTTGGTTGAATGGAGCAATATTAGTGTACTTCATTTGCCAATGGCCATAGAGAAAATCACTGATTTAAGCTCAATGGGACATGGTTTCTGCTGGTCTACTGCTGCCCCATGTGGTCAGTTTATGTCAGTTGCATAAACCAAAACAGCCGTTTTTAAACACCAAAGTGACAAAAACACACACTTGACCACAGATGTGATAGAAGCAGGACTGGATCAACAGCTGCTCTGTGGTGTCTTAAATATTATAATATAATCCATCCATCCATCCATTTTCATCCACTTATCCATTACCTGGTCGGGGGGCGGGTGGCAGCAGTCTCCATGACCACCACCCAAATCACACTGCACCGTACCAACCCCCCTGAACCTTCCTGCAGCTAGTGAGTCCACTGGACTGGTACCAACCACCCTGACTGGGATTCGATCTTGCCCACGAGGTGAACCCTGGGGTTCCACACCAATGACAGAGACGTTGACTCTGGGCCAAAGAGCAACATATTATAATATTATTATAATATCTAGATTCTCTTTAGAGGTTGATGTTGTTCCTTCTTAGGAAGAAAGGATAGAAAACCTGTAATCTCATCACATCACATTTTATTGCAGATAATTCCAGACAGACAGGCAGAAATCAGGTCACCCAAGAAGTAAAGATTTGATATTTCTGGGGAGGGGGTGAGGGGGGGCACTGCACATAATAAAAAAGTGGCGAAGTGGTGTCTAAGGATTGAATAAAATTCGACCACCGCATCAGAAGACATCAAAATAGAACACACACCAGTTTTCAGCCACAGTGACATTCATGTTACTATTTCAAATTCAACCAAAGGCATTAAACCGAGCAACAATATGAACAAAATATTTTCCCCAACAAAATCATAAAACTCAACATAGTAAAAAGCAGAATCAGAAAGATGTAAATTTTTGCACAAAAGTACTAAAATATTCAGTCAATTTTACTTAAACAGAAATAAAGTGTTTAGAAATATTTGGTCAAAATCAGATTTGATTTAAAACAAAAGATTTATATAAATTCATTAAATTCCAAATGACATGGTTAGTGCAGTAGCAGCCCCAGGAGACAGGGGGTGCACGGGAGCAAGAATCTGTTCTTTTTCCAAAGTTACAATGAATTTAATAAAATACATAATTTTAAAGTCAGTTCTCTAATTGTCTTACTAACTGTAAAATACCAACTCAAACCACTTCAAACGTTGTAAAAATGGTCATTTCTGATTGGTACTTTTTTCAAATACAAACAACAAAAAATAAATCTTTAATATTTATAAAAACTATAAAAAGTTTGTGTGCATAAAGAATTCCATTTCAACATTCTTACAAATAATTATAAGGATCTTATTGTGCCCAGAATTCAATATTACACACTTTGAATATCAATCATTGATATTAATCTTTAATAAAACACGCAATGTTTAGGGCAAAAACTTAATTTACATAAATTTCCCATTTATGTAAATTTCATCAGCAGGACAGAGGAGCACCAGGGGGCATAAATCACGTAAAATGTCAAAATTTAAGAAGGAAAATTCTAATGCATTTATGAAACGTTGATACAAATTCATGTTTACCAAGATTTCATTAAAAAAAGTAAAAGCAATTGTCAAAATCTTTTTTTTTGGAAAGTAACAGGAATTGAATTCCTTTTTTTCTGGTCTAGAAAAAAAGGAGGATAAAACAGGAAAGGCAGCCAAAAGTCCAGGAACTAAGTAAGAAGATGGAAAATAAACTGTGTGCAGGTTCATTTTAAAGGTTCACTTTGAGAAATTCTTTTTGAAATTAAAAATAGGACTGTGCATCTTCGTACTGATATATAATGTATATTAAGGCATACAACTTGAAAAAAAAAAATCACATGAACTTTCTCCATTTACTAAACTATATAATAATAGTTTAGTCTGAATTGAATTTCAAGTTTTTTTAGGGATAGCAATTTATAATTTTAGGACCAGCTAAAGCCAGTCTGTCCAGCTCAGTGAAGGCAGTGCAGTGCATTATGGGAACAGTGCATTTATAATATTAAAGAAGTACCATTAATCCAACTCAACCAAACAAAGTAAGGGGAAACACCCATCCCATGGTAGAAGGCCATGACTTCAGATATATGACATCACCAGCAGGGGGCAGCAAACGCTGAGAGCATTTTTCCACGTGTCCAAATGACTCCTTGCAATATTCGATCACTGTGAACATCCTACAGATTATGAAAAGTTAGTTCCGTTAGTGTAGTAAATGATTCAACCAGGGTGGTCTCTGGTCTCCCTGCACGTCCTGCTAACCAACAAGTCCTCAAAAAACTGACATGTCCAGTTGCATAACGGAACTCTTCAACCTTGACCATGACCTGGATGACTGAGAATCTTCAAAGGTATACCTGGACTTTGTCAAGGCTTCACTGGGCAAAATCCTTTTTAAACCAAGTCCATGGTTTTTGGTCAAAGGTATTCTCAAAGGTCTGACTAAATCAGAAGTCTGAAAGTCTGAGATGTTCCTTCTGTTATCGTTTATAAAAGTTAAACACACTCTTAGGTTGGTTCCTGTACTTGGCAGTACACGACCATAAACATAAATTTCTCAGAACCCTAAAGCAAGGCACATCACAGAGAGCAGCTTTGATGCCGAACTGTTAATTCCATCAGGAAAAAGATATATGCCAGTGAGATAAAATCCAGATTTATCCAGTTGGTCATCTCTGCTGGTTTGAGTGATCCACTTTCTGAAAATGTATCTTTGAAAATGTTTGATTTTCCGTTTTTTTCAGTCACATTTAAATTAACATTTAACTTCTTCATCATATGAAAAAAAAAAAGGCTGAGCACCAAGGGCCTTGGGAAAAAACCTGGTGGAACACCACATATTAAAGCCACTGGAATGAATTAATGAGGAGTTCATGTTGACTAGTTTTAGGTCTTTTTAGGTCCAAACCTCAACATTTTCAAACAAGACATTAAGGAATAAAGCACTTTGTGCTCCATTTCGTTTCTTTTTTTTATAAAAATCTATTTTGAGGCAGCTTTCTAAACATTTTTAAAAATGTTTTTCAATGTCTTCTCCTTCATGTCCGTCCTTATTGATGACACATGCATGTGAAACTGCAAAGCTTCTAGAACATTCTTATGTCAAAAAAGTACAGTCGTTTTTCAGTGTCATCTGATTCCCATGAATGGGAAATGAAAAATCTCAGCTTCCAATCAAAATGCTGCTTCTTTTTGCCCTTGTATGTGCCTTGTTTCTATTTTTTTTACACTGACAGGAAAAGCAATCATACCATAAAAGTGGAAGAGCCCTTTAAAAAACAATACTGTACAAGTGCAGTCAAACGCTTTACAGAAATGCTTAGGTTCTTGATTTCTGAGAAAACATAATTCACAGGAAACAACAACAACAACAACAAAGGAGCTGTTGATCCCAACACAGCAGTGAATATTTGGGCTGTCACTTCTTCAGAATTTATGTTCAAAGAACTTTTAGGATGATGCAGTGATTCTTGTTGTTGCCTCACAGCAAGAAGGTTACTGGTTTGTCCTCATTTAGACATGTTGAAGTTCTGAAATCAAACAATTAGTTCTTGATGGCCTACATCTTCACAACTTCTTCTGTAAAAATACAGGAGTAAATTAGCTTAGGATCAAGGCATACCCAAACATTAATGACTTTTGTCAGTTCAAAGGAAATGGTTGCCTTTATCTTATACTTTAAATGTTTATTAGGCAGAAGTCTTTTTTTTTTTTTTAAATATGGAGAACATACAAAGGCTAAACAGAGGGAAAATAGGGAAGTCAGTCCCAGAACCACCTGGTTCTGTACTATCACCTGAGCCACAATCCTACTGAAAGGGGTTTCCATGTAAAGTAGCACTTCTGTCAAAATCGCATCTTTGGGAAAAAGTGACAGCCCTTACACTAAGTCAAGTACATGTTCTATTGTGGTTCTACAGGTTCCCTCTCTCTCTCTCTCTCTGTGGTTCTTTGTCTGTTCTATTGATAAGAAGAACACGATTATAAAGTCAAATACTCATCAGTAGAAACTGGTGGCAGTTCAAGTCTATAAGGGCCAGTGGTACGAAGTCTAGTTGGTATCTGGTGAGCAGTGTGTGCTGCTGCTGCTGCTGCTGATGATGGTAGTGGTGGTGGTGGTGGATGTTTGACTCTGACCATCTCCAGATATTCTACAGCACCTCCTGGAATCAGGCGTCATTTAATTTGATTTCAATAACTCAGGAGAGCAAGAATAGCAAGGGGCAATTACAGTGTCACATGACGAACCAGTCAAAGCCAAATCTGATTTCCAGTCCAACAGGAAAACAGTGAAAGAAGCTGTTAGCAGCTGCTGCAGTTCATTTCTTTATTTTCTTCCAGAGGAGTTTTTAAAAAAGGAAAAAGAGTTGGTGTTTTTATTGTCCTGTCTCTGGTTGTGGACCAGCTGTATCCATCAAAGGAATTGGTTTTGGTCTAGGAACAGCTCATAGTCCACTTTAGTTTTTTGGCTCTCATTTGCCATCAGGACAGGTGCAGATAAGTGAAGAGCAGAGGAACCAGGAAGAGAACATTCAGGCCCACCGTGCCGTAGACGATGTATCTGTACGGCAGCTCCACCTCCATGTGCTGCCGAGCCTTCCTCACATCCTGACTGGGAACTCCAACCACCCAGCACACCAATGGAATGGTGAGAGCCTTCATCAAAGCCCTCGTGGCCACCAGCACCAGGACCCCCACTACTATCCTTATCATGGCAGCCCCCACCAGACCCATGCTAAGTGGGGGCAAGACCAATGGCAGCTGCTCCGGCGTTGGGTCCGGCAGCAGACCCAGGTTGTAGTTGATGTGTGAGGCTAAGGCCACACCAGCGCCTGTGCCCAGGATCTGAGCGGTGTCACCTCGTGATGTGCTCCAGGTGTCCAGGGTGAAGGAGAAGAGGCCCAGGCCCAGGTGGAGTGAGATGATGATGAGCGGGGCGTAACGACACGTCAGGTTGAAGTTGTCAATCAGTTCCAGGGCAGGGAGAAAGAAGAGGAGGATCAGGGCACTATAGAGGACTCCAACAATAACGTCCTGAGGAGACAGGAAGACAACATGGAGGTCGTGAAGCCGCAGTCCTCAACAATATTAAACAGTCTACAGTCCCTCACAACCCATTTGACAGTCGTGTCAGTCAGTTTGACAGTAGTGGACTAGGCTGGTCTGATGTATTCGGCCTCTGCTGGATGAGATGGGATTTTAAGCTGCCTTATTGACTGTGTATTGACTATGTATTAGAACAATATTAAGTAAATGGACGGTTGAATTGTTAGATATACTGCAAACGTCATTATGTCCAAATGCACTCGAAAGTCCTAATATTTAGCAAAACTATTAATTAAGCTATGATTGACCTTTTTGCCGGAATATCAGCTAAGCTACTCTTGCTAACTGTGGGGCTAACAAGTTATCAGGTGGTTAGCTATTAAAATCTCATATATACTTTGTTTATGTATTTTTTATATTATTATATCAATATTATTAAGGTTTTGGACAACTTTGAGCCATTTCTTCAGTTTAAATTTAGCCAATAATATTTAAACTAAATATGTAGCTAGAACTGGCTTTTATTTAGCTAACACTTATCCACTCTGTAAACTTTTGTAATATCTCCATTAAACACAACCGACATTAGTGCAGTGTGCTATACAAAGGTACAGCTGGATATTTTTCTCCCATTAATTAGAAAATGTATTAATTACAAATTACAGTAGCCTGAAATGATTGTTAAAGAAAACTTCAACAGCAATTTGCCTTAATTTCTGACGTTGTTTTGCAATTCCTGTCGACTGCAGTTGAAGTTAGTGATACAGAATAGTACAGTAGCCTGAAATGATTGTTAAAGATATATGATAATATGTGCTGCAGCAGAACAACAAATGAGAACGTCTAACTGTGTGAGATATGAGACAGGAAGAGCTCTCCAAAGGTTAGTGAAGTTTATCTCTGCTGTCATTGCAATCTTTTATCAGCACTTTCTCTCGTATGACCACCACAGGCCACATCTGTAATTTTCCCCTCCACTGACACAAGGACAATCAGCTGGAAAGGTCGTCCTGGGGTGTACTGTACGGCCCAGAGCAAAGACCATGTCATGTTGGAGAAGAAGCTTTTATCTAAAGTGCCTGACGATAGCAACCAATAAGCATTGATGGGAACAGAGCAGCTAATCTTCAGTGAGGCATGGCCTTAAGTGATTCCTGCCTATTGTTCACGTGTAATGTATAACGACTAAATGGATCCTGCTATCAGAGTGAACAGTGACCCTGCCGGAGGCACAGAGCCATAAACATGGAGTGAAGGGACCTTGAGCAGCCAGGTGCAGCCATAGACGAAAATGACCTCCTGTTTAAAGCATGAACATTTGTGACTGGAACCACAAGACAACAATAATATAAATATGTAACACCAATTATATTATAGTAATATATATACTAATCAAACAGCTAAAGTCCTAGCTCTACCAACGTACCCATGAATATTGGCCATGAAACATAGGTTTTTATGGATGAAGTCAATGCTTCGGATGTTTTAAATATATTAGAAAATAAGAACCAAACGACTGATTTGCAACAGTTGTAAAACTTTGGTTGCACATTAACTGGAGGCTGGCAGGTTGATTAATCAGACACGCGACCATCAGTGGATGAGAAACTGTTTGACGCCATGGCACATTTTAATGCTGCCTGAGTCTGGAAGCTCCAGCCCAAAAAGGTTAACATTGGGTTGATGTTATCAGCTAGAAATGAGATCTGAGAGCACACTACTGATATGTCTCGTGTTACTTCACTCTGAACACCAGCACTTTAGACCTGTAGAACTGTCCTGCTGTTCATATGTTTTAGTTACACTGCTGATGAGAATTCACTGTTTTTTTAAACAGGGGCACCATCGACTCAGTGACACTGGTTTTGTGAATC